GAAAACTTATTGATAATCCAGCTGCGATGGTAGTGCCACAATGCCCTTTCAAGGTCCTCCATCTTGCTCTGCTATATCGCGACACGGACACTGCTCGCAATGGCTGCAACAAGTTTCCATTCGCCATCTATATCTATATCTATATCTGTATCTCTATATATATATATATGATTCGCTGAGGCCCCGGCCGCCGTCTGAACTGACAGAGCTCCAACCCTGGGAGGGGAGAAACTTACCTCGCAAGTTAAACGCGAGGCGCCGGTTCTCAGCAACTCAACTTGCATAGCTCTGCCTGGATCAAATTCTGAGCTGCTTGCATCCAAAGCGAGCGCCACCACCAGAGTCAATCCCAGCAACGTCCAGCAGAAGATGTCTGCCTCCGTCTCTGATTGGACTAACTCAGATTGCAATTACAGCTTGCAGTTATTCGGAACAGCATTCTGCAACGTGTCATGGGCCGGGTTGGCAACTGCTTCATGCCCTCTGAAGTAAGATGGCATATGCCCGAGTCAAGGCCGGGCCTCCATAATATGTGCCATTCGGCACTTTATTGAGCTCCAACCAGCCCTCGCCAACCGGCGCGTTTGGGCTATTGAACCGTGGCTGCTGCGTAACAGACACCTGCATCCAGCCAACTCTCGTCGCACAAGTTTGCGTTATCCTTTTTCAAGCATGTCACACCCCATACTTTTTTCCCCCAAGGCAGACGCCCTTGAAGCAAGCTGCTCGCGCGACCCATCTGCACTTAGAGCCTAGTTTGATGCGCTGTTGGTTCTGCCACGAATAGTACTATCAATGATCGCTTTAGCTACGAGTTTGGCCAAAGCACTTCCATGATCTATGGCTCAGCGGTCTAGGCGACCACCTGCGAATTCGAAAGCAACGCCTCCCCAACGGGTTTCCCAAATTGGGACAAGCCTGCTTCGCTAGTGAAACGAAGCTTGCACATTGCTGCAAGGGACCTTTGAGATCTAAGTTCCACGCTGGATTCCACATCCGCACTACAACACAGCTCCACGAACGATGAATACATGCATCCGGTTTCAACAATTTGCACGGGCAAGCTGCCACGCCTTAGCATCTTCAGCCGCGTGCTGTGTTTCTATGGACCCAAGCGGGCCCAGCGGGGCCCAGCGTCACTTGACACTCTATCAGCTTTGATTCGAGGGCCCGAAACTAGGATTTCGACAACTGCCAGGCTTTTTCTGGGCTCTGGGCTGTTTTACAGATCACCATCGACTCATCTGTCGAGCATCCATTCAATCGTCCCCAGCTGAAGTTGCCTGTTCGACATGCGCAGATGCCTGCACTGCCTACATGATTTCCAACATGGTGTGCGCTCAGGACCTGTTATCGCATCCATCACTCGTGATGATTGCAAATCGAAAACTGCTTGGAAGGTTGTGCGACTCGGGGACATTAGAATAGCAAGATCCCCTCCTCGCTGGGTGATGCCGCAGCAGGCCGCCTGAGAACATCGTGGGAGGGAGGCCAGTCATCAAATCCTATTGCCCATGCTTGCGGCTAGTTCGAAACCAGCATGCTAGCTGGTGAGCTGGTGAGTGTTCCACAGTAACAGTTGCGTCCGAGGTGCACATCCGAGGAGCCCTCCTTAGCCAATGCCGTCTGGCACAGGCCAAGCGGCAGCTGATCATCTTGCTCGTCTGCAAAGCGACACCTGTGCCTGAGGTGCGGGCGTCGGCCAATCGTCGCAAGGCCGATGCGGCAGCGGCATTCACGTCTCCGCAACCTTTGAGCTCTTCGAAGAAGAACCTGCAACGTGCACGCAGAAAATCAAATCCCAAACAAGCAAATTTCCATCGGTACTGGTTGCAGACTAAAGCATGTGGCCAAACAGGCTCCTTCACGACAAGGACATGTGGGCAGTGGAGTTGGTCTAGTTGCGACACTTCGGCAGGGGTCTTGGAGTGATTCTCGGGTGTCTTTCCACAGAGATCCTCTCAGCAAAGACGGGCTTCGCAATTAGTGACTAGCAATCAGAATCAACGCCGGGAAGCGCCGGGCACCGGGCTCATTCGTATCTGGGGGTGGGGATTCTGGCGCCCCCAGGACCCCGCCCCAATGGGGGTGGGGAGGGGGTGGGTTGGCGTGTGCAGAGAGGGGTCGGGGCGGTTGGGTGGGCTGCTGCTTGGGGGGAGCTCTACGCAAGCCATAACCCCTGTAACGTAGGGCGTGTTCCTGTTTTTGTCAACCTTACTTACACTGACTTACACCCAACCCTAAACACCCCGCCTAAATGCAGGCTCTAAGCTTGACCCGCCCCCCCCTCCCCACACAGATGAGAATGATGGCGATGATGCTGAGGACAATGACGCTGATGTGCTTCTTGCCAGCTGGTATTCCGAGTGTGACTGTTGGTAGCGCCACTGCTCTCATGCTCTTCTGTCTTTAGGTTGACCGCATGTTCTTATTTTTTATGTGTTTCAAGGCTTGTTTGGCTTGCTGTTCTTTGGTAGATTTTCGTAGGTTGGGTGCGTCTAAAGTCAGCCCGAGCATGTGCTTGATTGAGAGCATGTGCTTGATTGACTGTCATTCAGGACTCTTGAACAAGGGACCGGAGGAGCATGCGGACGGGATCGAGACCACCATCTTCGTGGGAGGGACAGGGGGGGAACCCCAACGACAAGGTACCACAGGGGGAGGAGGGGATATCATGGAACAAGTGGGGGGAGCGAGGGCCTGCATTCATAGTGTTCGCCTTGCCCTGTAGTGATGCTCAAAGCACCAATTCTCGTGCCTTTGCAGGGATGCGACTGCCTGTGCTTTGCAATGAGTCTCGGGTGGCTCCTGCAGGCTGCCCAAAGAGGAGAAAATTTGGCAAACTGGCAAGATCACAAGTCAACAAAGGCTAGTACTTGCTGTCTCCGCCTGAGTGGTGGCCGGCGGCGGGCCTCTACCAACGAAGCACAAGCAGCGGACAGTACCCAAAAATCAAAGACAAGTCGGCAAGCCGAGTGGTCACTGTCACAGTCGGCTTGTGAAGGGCAGGCCTGCTAGCTCGGCAGCAAGTGCCTTGCCGTCTCTGCCTGATGCACCGAAAGAGGAGGATTCTTGAAACAGCTTCCCAAGCTTGAGAAATAGTCTTCACCTCTCGTGTTCTGTACAATGCACGTCCTGTCGTGTTGTAGCTGCCAAACTCCACACTTTCTGAGTAATAGATGAAAACATGAGGCCACCACGCTGTTCCCTTCCAAGCACCTGTGTCGGCTCATGACATGACGTTGATTTGCTGAAGCCTTTTCTATAGCAGAATCACCTTCCAGTAGCCCCCTCTTCGGCTCTGGACCCCAGCTGTGTACACGACTTGATGAGGGATCTGTTTTCTCTTTGGTGGCTCGAAATGCCAGGTAGCGAACATTGCCGAAGCATCTGCGAGTGCTGGTAGAGATCGCTTTACAGGGGCTTCCAAATAGCTTAGGAAATCGAACTTCGTAAAGAACTGTGTAATCTAATGGAGCATCACTGAGGATCACATCCCTGCAATGGCAAACCGTAGCATTACCAGAATCTTTGCAGGGTACAGCTGGTCTGCCTACTTGAATTGAATTTCCAGAACCGGGTCAAGGTGTGCTGGCTTGCAGTGTTGCTTGCATTTGCGGTCTGCGTATTGTTTGCTCTTTGGCATTGCATGTATGTCGGAAACACCAAACAAATGTAAACACAAAAACAACGCACCCGAAACACCCAAAAAAAATCCAAACTGCAAAACACCCAAACATGCAAAAGCAAAACCACGAACCCGGAACAACAAACAAATAAAACTCCAAATAACCACAAATCCGGAACACAAAAAAGCTATACGCAAAACATAGTTCTGAACACCTACCCAGCCTGTGGTCCAGAGATGCTTATAAGCGTAGCATTGATTGATATTGAGCTATCTTGGCTTTTTCTACTGCAAGATGGAGAATGTGAGACATCTCTTTGTTACTGAAACTAGTTAATGAGTGTATTGGTAAGCGTGAGTGCCCGGAATGACCAGGCGCTGCTCTGCTCAAAGCGACCTGGATGGAAGGCTTCCGGAAAGGCTCCTTGTCGAGCTTGCCGAAGGATGCCAGGCGATCACCTAACTCGGACATGAACTCGTCGTGCTGCAGCGACCATGACTTGAAGCTTGCCACACACCTTGCGCATGTCGAAGCGGGTCTAGGCGGTGAGGCTCTTGACCTGGGAAGAAAGCATGTGCTCGCCACCCCTACGTGAATTTCAGACCTCGTTTCTTCCCACGTGTCCAGAATCGCTGGGGCTTGGGCGTCTGCGTGCCACGACGCCCGTTGACAACACGCTCTGGGGCTGCGATCTATGGCCCTGCAGCAAACAAAACTTGGAAGCCCAAGTAAACAACATGAATTGCCAGTCCTCTGGCGAAGCGGGTCGTTCGGTCAAGGGTGGCAAACGTTTCCGCTCAGACCTGGGCCGACATGTTTGCTTTCTTGCGCATGCACATCTGCAAAACCTACGCTTCGCAGCTTGGTGAAGTGCACCCGGGGTGCACTCCTGCACGTATTGTGCCTCTATAACGGCTTTTGAGATCTGAGTTGATTGTGGAAGGTTCTTTCGTTGTTGTCTCCCACCCCTTTGGCGGCGGCCTTGAGGTTTCTTCCAATCCAGATCTTGGGCTTTGTGGCTGACACCCTCCATGAAGTTTGAGCATTGTTAGCCGGTTTGTTTTGCACATCCAAATCTTGGAACAGCAACTCTCACCAGTGACTGCAGCTACCCCGTGCTTCTGAGAGCAGTTAGGGAAGATGCAACAAGGCGATGATTTCTGGGCTGCTGACCATGACCGCATTGGGACACTAGCCCGCCCGCTACTGGAACGGCACGTGCTCAAGCCGCGGGACGCAGGAGTCATCAAGTGGAGAACGTGCTGCCACTCCAACGTTGGATATTCATCCATTAATCTATCCTGAATGCCCCTTCCCAAGCCTAAGGCCCTAAGAAGATAGCTCGGACACTCATCTTTCTGGCCGCGCTCTCTAGAGGCTGACTTGCAAGATGGCCTCGCAGGCCGGAGCCACCTGCCAAGTGTCAACAGAAGCCTTCAACCTGACCTTGAACGGTGCAAACTGGCATACATTCCAGGGAAGGACAGATATATGCAAGTTCTGCCTCGTCAAAGTCTGTGTCAGATCGCTTCCAAGAGCTGTCTAGAACACGATTGCCTTGACAGGGCAGAATGACCAGCTTTGTGGACCTGTGCCTGTCATGTCTCACAGAGTTGCCAAGCTTCACTCTCTGCCTGCCTAGCACCTGCTGCCAATCACGAGACGGCGGCGCTAGAGCATAAGCTTAGGCTTCGATAAAACAAACGATACTTCTACAAACATGGAATGTGCTAGTGTAGAATCAATGACACCTGGCAAACGATCCCAGCAGCTAGCCTGGAGTATGAGAATTGATGAAGCACGTCAGAAAGATCTGCGTGTCATCCGCAGCAGCTATAGTTCTCGCAGGAAGGCCCCGGAAACCCCATTGTGGCTGTATGCTGCCCTCGTCTTCCTCCCAAAAACCAAGCCGACCATCTGCGGCAATGCTCAGCACACCTCTGCTCAGTTTTTGGAGAAAGCGCCTCAGCACGCGCAAGGCATCCAGACTCGCACTTCATTCCCTCACACTGCGTCAAATATGGGTCAACGCAACATTTGATTATGTGATGATGAGATGCCTGTGAAGTCACTAGCTGTTCAAACGTGCTTCTACATACTCCTCTGCACAGCTGGATGACACTTCGTGCAGTGACCTTTAGATCCATGTCTTGACAATCCTTTCGGCCTTGAATCCTGGGTGTCAGTGCTTGCTCGGCAGTCGAGCATCAAGACTGTGGTCGTTGCGTACCGCACTAGGTACAAACCCGCCAGATCTTGCCTAGTTGCCTAGCCCTTGCAGCCCCAGCACAGCGCAGACAAATTGACTGAAGCCCACCCGACATGTTCTGCCATCAGGCCAAGATATGCCAAGCATCACCTGGTCAGTATGGAAAGCAGCCATCTCCAGCGGCGTTCCGTCTTCCAGAGTCTGGACCATGCGGCCATCGACATGTCCCAGAATTAGGGAGCCACTTGCAGGGCCGCATGCCTTAATCTGTGGTGGCCGCCCGACAAGACATCCGGTGATGCTCGGCAGCCAAAGCAAGCATTGGGTGGCCTATGGTAACGTGTTCAGTATTCAGATACCCGATTTGACATACTCCACATCATTACGAGTCTCCAATGCCGTCACTGGCCCATCGGACTTGAACACCTCCTCTGGATCGGAACCACCAGATATCCTGAACACTGACCCGTCCTGGCATCAACATCTGCGTGTTCATGCTGCAGCTGGATGTACATATGCCTGGGTGCGAAACGTGAAATGCAGGCAAAAGCAAACCACACATGCATGTTCCATGAGGCACTATTCACCTGGCAATAGTGAGCCTAACTGCAGCAGTTTTTCTGGACCAAGGAAATGAAACCGAGTCTGCACTTTGCCTAGTGGAGAAGTCATAAATGTGTAAGACGCACCCCATCGCATGGTGTTGGCCAATTATGGGATCGCGCTGTGGGTTTTCTTTGAGGGGGTTGGGGGGTGGGGGATGGGGGGGGGGGGTGG